ACCACCACCACCACCAAGACCACCACGACGAAGACGCCAACCGCCACAACCACAACCACGACACTAACACTGACACTCATGCAAACATGACAGCAACGCTAACACTAGTTTCAGAAACGGCAACCCTCAAATTCATCACCCGCCCAGGGCTGTTCCTGCTCTTGCTGCACGTCCGAAACACGCCACCCAGCTACACTGGTAATCACCGGCAACCATGTCCTTTTCGCCGTCGCCATGGTCATCATCGTCATCACGTCGCATGACAGCGAGAATGCTGTCTTCATCATGGCCGCCAGTCAATGGCACCGGCATAACCACAACACTAAGTAGCATGATAATCGCAAATGCATGCACATTGGAAGTTTAATGATTTAACTATGACTTTGCACTTACCAGTCATTATGGCGCAAAGCTCAGCTCTCGTCACTGCGCCTCCCCCTCCGGATCCTGTGGAAGATGCGAAGAATCCATCAAACCTGGTCTGAGCATGACGACGTGATGTCGGCTACTGTTATGATCAATGATGAAGGCTATCGCCAACGACTGGGTGTCCAAATCCAGACTAAATTGTAGGCTCGCTGAGTGTAGGAGTTCCGGCGTGCAGTCACCTTCACATCATGAAGACTGGTGAGCTCGTGGACTCGTTGCTCCCCCCCCCCCCCGCTCGCAGCCAAGCTTCTTGTCAGCAGTTCCTTCATGTCAGACAGCTTCCTCCTGCGATAGAAGCATGGAAACATTTCTTTGGCTCTCATGGCTGGGGCACTCAGTATCACTCAGTCGTCCGAAGAAAAGAGCTGACTCGAAAACTTGTAAAGCTCGGCATGCCGGCCTTGTGTTCCGCACTTGCTTTCGGAAGGCCGTGTTGTATAGATCTTCGCCTCAGTCAGAAATGAAGAGACGGAGTTATTTTTTGCCTCCTGCATTGGACGGCTCTATTGTACTGTGGGATTCTCGTGAGCCTTCTTCATCGGCTGGAAAGAGAAACTGGAATTCCCAAATGCCACGAGGCCACGAACAAAGTCGCAAGGAGTCGCACAGTAGCACAAATACTTCATTGCGAAGCTTTTTGTCTGAACTAGTTTTCTTCGGAAAGCCTGACTTTGGCAGTACCCCTGGTGTCCCTCCATGAAGAAAAACAACGAAACACTCAAAACATCATCCCGATCATGGCCCAACAAACGTGACGACATAGTGTGACAATGTCCAAGCACTAACTAGTAACTAGTGCACCTCTGGATAGCCCGGGTGGCTGATGTTTTCGCCGATCTGTGGGACGGCTTCCTCAGTACGACAGTGCAGGCCCTGCAGCTACTGGTTGGACATTTCTTTCATGCGACCACAGCTGCGTCCGCACGGGCGAGTATTCGCTCTGAGAGTACAAGAGTCCTACCCGCCATCGGCGAGCAACTACACCACTCCGCTGACTACAAGGGCTGCAACGCGAGCGCACATTGCGGGTCATCGAGTGCGTTCTGGCAGCGTTTCAGACTGTTGCCACCGAGATGCCAAAGCTGCTCTGGAGCAGTCTGGGCTGAGCAGGTAGTCAATGTTTCCCAATGAGTCCAGCAGGAACCGCGATCTATCCTGATTGAAGGGCATCGACAACCGACGACTACATGTGCTGCAAGACCAATGTGGAATAGGTCATAGTCATAGGCACAACATGCCAACCGCCAAGACCCCTCAGACAGCCGAACAAGCGAAGGGTTTGTTGTTTTACACGCGTCAAATCCCCAAAACCCCAAAATCGTAGCCACAGCCCTAAACCCGAGAACCTTGAATCCTGAACCAAAAGACCCCAGTGGGTCACACATTCGAAGCTGCAGCTGCGGGGCAGGCCCGATGTAATCCACGGTGACTGTCAGGACGATCTGCTCAAACAACTTGTCACTGTCCTGCGGTTTCGAGTGTAGGGTCTGTCTAACAGTCTCAGACCCACTATACAATCACGATTTAGGACCCGCATAAAAGGCATGTCAAAATCTAACCGAGTACCACAAAAGAGTTAATTACTAAACATCGCAGAAAGCTGAGAAGAGGGCATGAGCTTGGTCCGTCGCCGAACTCAAGTCGCGGCAGCGACTAAAACCATCCAACCCCGAACCGTCGAACCGTGAAGTCGAAATGCATTAGCCTGAAATCCACGAAAGTGAATTCAGCAGGACCCTGCGAGCTCTTGAAACTGCACTGCAAAACGACAGCGCAGATCATATCATATCACATCATTTCAATATCACTGTTATCATCCGTCATTGTCCCCAGTAAATGAAGCCGCTGGATCATCCAGTCAATAGGAGAAGTAGCTTACAAACATGCTTGGGACCGGCTTCGGAACAGCAACAGTCGTGAAGTAGAAGAGGATCTTGCAGCGACTACGAGTTGAAGTGCCCTGCGGTTGGGTGAATG